TGAAGTGGTTCTGGGGAAGAAACTGTCAGCATGAAATTTTCTCTTGACTGATGGACTATTGAGGAAGAAAGGGTGATTTTCTGCTGTTGAGGTGGCTAAGCGTGTTCTTGCAGAGAATGTTCTGAGTGGGGGTACGAGGGAGTGAAGTTCAGCAGAGCATCTGCCGTGGAAATATCGATATAGTAACGCCAGGCTAGCAACATCGCGCCGGTGTGAAAGCGGTATTGTTATTGGTAAGTCAGTCTGTGCGTCTCCCTCTCCCTCTCTCTCTTCCCCCCCTCTCTCTCTCTCTGTCGCTCTCTCGCTCGCTCTCTCTCTCTCGCTCTCTCTCGCTATCTCTCTCTCTCTCTCCCTCTCTCTCTCTACCTCTCTCTCGCTCCCCCTCTCCCTCGCTCTCTCCCTTCTCTCTCTCTCTCCCTCCCTCTCTCTCTATCGCTCTCACTAGACGAAAACCGACGTATCCGGGTCGTATACTCCCGTACACACGCCCGGAAATTCCAAATATACGGACATTTCCAGGTGTGCGCGACCCGTACACTTGGCGTGTGCAGGCCTGCACACGGCCCGGATATGAACCACTCAGGTGTCCGGGCCGTGTACAGGCCTGCACACGCCTGCACACGCCGCCCGTAAATCTCTGCACACACCTGGATACGTGACACGTACCTCTGAGTGTGTGTATGAAATATGCATAAATTAGCGGTAATTTTCACCTAATTATCTTCCTCATTATCAGCTCGTGTACGGGTCGTACACACCCGCACACGTCCCCCCTCCAATATGCCTTTTGTAATGTAAAGTAGCATCATAGCCGTTTATCCCCCCTTCTTGTTTGCATAATTTTGTTTTTTATTAATTGTACATGGTGCTTGGGCTTTGTGACTTTTTGTTTGTGTTTTGTGTGCCTCCAATATTTCCAGTGTACTTCGGCCGGTCTTTCAGCTCAGCTGAAACAAACTGTACGTCTCGTTCTTCTGTGTCTTGCCTTGACGCAGCTAGTCACGGGAGCAGATATTAG